CTTCGAGGTCAATCGGCTCTTGCTGCCACGGGAGCGAAGACTGCGACCTGAGGAACGGTCAGGTGGTCAGATTTTTTTGGGGCTCTGGGGGTTTAGGGCTTAGGCTTTAAGGGTTTAAGGGTTTAGGGGCTTCAGGGTTTAGGGATTTAGGGGTTTAAGGGTTTTAGGGTTCAGGGTTTAAGGGTTTAGGCTTTAAGGGTTCAGGGGTTTCGGGGCGCTTCCATTAAGGGTCCCTTAAAGGGCCGAAACTTTGGGGTTCCGGGCATGCATAGGCTTATATTTGGGGTTTAGAGCCAGGTTCAGAGTTCCCACAGGGTAGTTACCGTCATAGGAGCCTTTGGAGAAGGTCTACGTACCGTGTGGAAGCCTTATAGAAGCCCCATATACCCTAAACTCCCCCACCTCTAGTTTCCTTTAAGGTAGGGGCTTCCTTTAAAGGGTCCCCTCTGAAAGGATCCTCTGAAGAGTTCAAACTCATAGGGAGTTTAGGGCTTTAGGAGTGAGAGTCCCAACCTTGCGTCTTAGAGCCTAAGGTTCAGGGCTGTGGGCCCTAAACCCCTAAACCCCTAAACCCTAAACCCTAAACCCTGAACCCCTAAACCCCTAAACTTAGGGTTTTAAAGGGATATTTCTTCCCCAAAAAAACTCCCGGATGGGAAAGCCGTGGCCTGTCGGGGAGCGGTCGAGCTCGGTGGTGGAGGACCGCGTCCTGCTCGTCTGGTAACCTGGTTGCCGAGCTCAAAGTTTAGGGTTTAGGGGTTTGGGTTTAGGGTTTAGGGTTCAAAACTTACCTAAACCCTAAACCTTAAACCCCTAATACCAGCACGGGCTTTGTGGCTTCTATCTGTGCGGGCTCAGCTGGGGTGTAAGGCCTACTGAGTTTCGTGCCCCCCACCCCAAACAAGGCTTAATCAACTGGTTATGCTGTTGCAGCCTTGGGAATGATGTTCCTAGTTCTTGTAATCCTTATATATATATATATGAAAGGGCTTGGTATAGATGTCTTCCAGTAGACTTCATCTAACATACGACCTTTGTATGAATCAGCATAGGCTCTTTTGAATAAGAGCTGAAATAATCCTCATGGGGAGAGAACGGCGCCCTTGGAAAAGGACGTTTTGCATCGACTCTACCGCGCCTGACACAGCAAACAGGCTTCCCCTTGGGTTTGTTGAAGGCACATTTTTTTTTTACGTTTAGGGCTTGGAAACGCTTAAAACTCGAGTGTTGGACAAGCTAGAGGCGCCTACGGCCTGGTGAGGCTCTTGCGCAGGAAGCAGATCGAAAGTAGCACTGGCGAAGATACCGAAAGTACCATGCCTGTCACACGAAACAGGGTTCAACATACCCGTCGTTTGACATGACATGATCTGAAAAGCTAGGAGATGACATGATATGACACGACATGATATGATAGATCGTGACATGAACAGACATGTGATGATCACACGACGGGTTGCTTCAGTAGATTCTCAATCCTATGTTAAACCCTGTTTCGTGTGACAAGCGTGGTACTTTTCGGTATGTTCGCCAGCGCTACGTTCAATCTACTACTTCCTGTCCAAGAGCCTCATCAAGATGCATCTTAAAGCACAGAACATCATCCCCCCTCTCACCTCCCATCCACAAGAAGAAGCAAAAAGTAGGTGCAGTTATCCCCCCGTGTGCGAAAACATGGATGCGTTGATAAGTAGGATAGGCTTTTGGGTTATATTACACTACAATGGTACGGGGACTATGAGGAGCCTTCAACTTGGGGTTGTGGCCCGCTTCGCCCGACCCGATATGTTTGGGCCAGCGCAGTGGCCCGTCCATCAGTCTTTTGATTCACCAACCTTCATGAACACCTAAGCCCTAAACCACCCAAGTAAATTCCACACCGACCCTCAAAGCTCCGATCTTAAACACCTGCAGCCCTAAATCTCCAATCTTTATCCCCTAAACCTTTGAGCCCCTAACCCGAAGCAGACATGCAAATCGCTCTAGGCAGGACACGTCGAAGATTCAAAGTCAGTCCTCGCGAGCAGCCCGTAGCTGAAGTATGTTTCTTTGAATTAGAGTTCGGGGTTTAGGGTGTTGTCGGTCTTCTGAGTATGACTTTGGTCTGGGGTTTTATCCGGGCACTCGGAAATTTATTGCAGAGCCCTTCTTTGGGATCTCTTCAGTTCGGCCTTCGCGTTTAGCTTGGTGGGATGGGAGATGTAGCATCCGTGGTGCTCAGGCTAACCATCCTGGTTCGGTTCTTGCACGCGGTTGTATCGGTGGCTTTGGCTTTCGGCATTGCTTTCAACTTCCGATTCGTCAGAAAGCTATGTGCTGGCAACTCGGATAGCCAAGAGCCGATACCACGACAGCAGCAATCTACAGAGTCCATCACAACGATCAAAAGGAACAGCTAGCAGTGGTGCCATGGGTCCGAAACCAAAGGGGCTGCCGGTGACCTACTTTTGACATCCTGCTTCGGTGGTTCGAAATCATTGGTGCCGCAGACCATTCAAGTGCTTAAACGGGGCTTTTTACTCAATGATTAGACTGAGCTTTTTTGGGTGCTTTATGGTGTACTTATAATAAGGAACACTCTAAAGGAATAATCTGGGTAAGTATTTAGGGCCCTCTATTCGTGTCCCTTAGGCTGACTTTCCTCTGTCGAACTTCCGAAACATCCCCCCAACGAAGGGGGAGCTTATGAACAAAGGAACCCGAAACGAGCCTCAACCTTGGGTACTGCCCCCATACAGTAAGAGCCTCTACGAGGGCCTACCATTGAGGGCCGTACAAAAAAAATAGTATGAATACAACTCAACTGTTACTGAGTGGGGGCAGTATCCAACCTCAACCCTAAACCCTAAACCCCTAATATGAACAAAGGATCCCGAAACGAGCCTCGACCCTAAATAGCCTCAACCCCCAAACCCAGAACCTGGCTCTTAGCCCAGGTCCCCCAGCCGAAGTTAACGGAAACTGCACCTGGGGAGTTTAGGGTATACAGGGGCTTCTAGAAGGCTTCTATTCTATAAGGTATATAGACCTTCTATAAGGCTCCTATAACGGTAACTACCCACCTAAAAATGTCCTGGACGAATATGTTCAATCTGAACCTGAACCCTAAGCCCCTAAGCCCTAAATCCGAAGCTCAAAACCCTAAACCCCTGATCCTTAAAACCCTAAACACTCAAAAAACCCCTAAAGCCCTAACCCCGAAACACCCTTAAACATTCACAAGCCACTTTAAAAACCCGTGCAGAAACCTCACAAACCCTTTCAAAAGCACAAAAACCTCAGAATTCACCCCGTTGAAGCGCTCTTACACACCACTCGTAAGCAACCCACCACTACAGTACCCTTATAAGTGCCTGAAAACAAGAGCCTTATATAAAACCTACCGAGACCCCGATAGCATCTGTTAGAACTCCGTGAACCCTTACAACACCCTCACCAGAAAACCCTTATAAAAAACCCTTGCAGAACTCTTCTGGCCCTAAACCCTAAACGCCTTATAAAACCCTAAATCCTAAACCCCTTACGAAACCCTAAACCCTAAACCCCTTATAAAACCCTAAACCCGTTGTAAAACCCTAAACCCTAAACCCCTTGTAAAACCCTAAACCCTAAACTCCTTATAAAACCCTAAACCTTAAACCCCTCATAAAACCCTCAACCCTAAACCCCTTATAAAACCCTAAACCCAAACTAAAGTATGAACCCAGATCGGAGCATGCCCCCCGGAATCTGAGCTTCCAACCTCGGCGGCCCCTTGGTCGGAAATTCCCGGCGCTCTTTTGGGTTTAGGGTTTGGGGGTTTAGGGTTTAGGGGTTTAGGGGTTTAGGGTTTAGGGGACGTCGTAGTAGCAGTGATAATGGTAAGGATAGAATTCACCATCCTAATCATAAGGATATAAGGGGCTTTTGAAGGACATAGAGGCTCTTTGAGGTTTAAGGGCTTAGGGTTGGAGGGTTCAGGGTTTAGGGGTTCATGAGTTTCGGATCTACCAAGTCAACAGAGAACCCAGTAGAGTCTACCCAGCTGTGTGATGCAGGTCATAGGACTGAGCGGCCAGCTTCAAAAGATTGTAGGAAGGGTGGATTTCGGGCTTCGGGCTTTTTGGCCTATGCTTCGGGCGCTCCGAAAATCAGAGTTTAAACGGGGTCTGAAAGGGGGGTGTGGGCACTGTGGGTTGATATTCCCGCGTTACTCCAATGGTGTAATTTACAGAATGTCAACCATAAGAACCCAGAGGGGGGTTGGGGGGAGCGTGTACGAAGGGCCTAACAAGGCCTTTTTAAGGAAGTAGAGCCCCCTACCCCCCTCCCCGCTACGCCCCTAAGGGTCCCCTTTTTAGGAGCAGCGACAAGTATGAGGTCGATGGTGTCTGGTTCAGGTTTCAGGGTGTTGTGCGCCATTTGTCAGATGCAAAGATGCACTGTCATGAAGCTTGTGCAGTAGCAACTACATCTGTGAGCATCCGCTTCCAGCAGCGAAAGCCATAACTGTCGTTGCCGTGCTGAAAACTGAGCCAACCATCTATCAGCGCCGGCTTCCAGCAACAACCTGTGCGACTTGCAAGTGACCCTTCTCAAAAGCGAGTACCAAGGATGTCTTGCCGTCATCGTCCGTGCAATCTGATGCAGCACCAGCTTCCAGCAGCAGACGTACAACTTCCAAGTGACCACACTCAGATGCGAGCATGAGGGCTGTCTTGCCGCGAAGGTCAGCAAACTCCTTTCCAGCATCAGCTTCCAGCAGCAAACGTGCAACCTCCACGTGGCCATCACGAGATGCCACCATCAATGCTGTCTTGCCGTCATTGGCCGTGCCATCTTTTGCAGCACCCGCTTTGAGCAGCAATCGGGCAACCTCCAAGCGACCCTTCGCAGACGCAAGCATCAAGGCTGAACAGCCGCGGCGGTCCGTCAACTCTTGTCTAGCACCATCTTCCAGCAGCAATCGTACAACGTTGAAGTGACCACTCCGAGATGCGAGCATTAACGCTGTCTTGCCGTCATTGTCTACAATCCTGTGCAACACCAGCTTCCAGTAGCAAACGTACAACCTCGAAGTGATCCCTCTCAGCTGCGAACAGTAGGGATGCCTTGACATGACGGGCTGTGACTTCCTTTCCAGCACTTATCTCCAGCAGCAAACGTACAACTTCAGCGTGACCATTCCGAGATGCGAGGATTATGGCGGTGTTGCCGCCAACATCTGTGCCATCTATTGCGGCGCCAGCTTGCAGCAGCAAACGTAGAACCTCTAAGTGGCCCTTCTCACATGCGAGCATGAGGGCTGTCTTGCCACGAGGGTCAGCAACCTCCTTTCCAGCATCAGCTGCCAGCAGTAATCGTACAACCTCCACGTGACCACACTCAGATGCAAAGACCAACGCTGTCTTGCGATTATCGGCAATCTCTGTTCTGGCACCCGCTTCCAGCAGCAAACGTACAGCTTCCAAGTGACCATACTGAGATGCGAGCATCAGAGCTGTCTTGCGGCTGCTATGAGCTCTGCAGTCTTTTTCAGCACCCGCCTCCAGCAAGCAGCGCACCGATTTCTCGCGATTCCGTCGACAGGCCTCTGCCAAGCCTGCTGCAGCCAAACGTGCCTCACTTGCGCGGTTGTCTAGTGATTATGTTTTGGACCCTTGGGGGCACAGGAAGGATGTTTATCGTGTCCCAAAGAAGATAACCTTGCCTGCTGGACGACCAAGGTGCAGTCTTGTCCTTGTGCCAATGGCCAGAGATGGTCAGCAGCACTAACTGCAGATCCATCGAAACGGCCAGTTCTGCGTCATCTTCCAGGAGGTTTCCCTCATGCAACAGTTGCTGCAGATACACAGGAAATCCATAGAGTCCACGCAGATGTCTCTTCAATGCCGCCACATTTTGGCACTCCTCAGCGCGGGCGATGGCCAGCTCCTGCCCAGAAGGTCTAGCGACTCGAAGCATTCCGGCAAAGGCTGGTCATGGACGTCACGCCCGGAGACTCTGAGCCCTAAAGGCCCTAAAGCCTTCTATCACTGCGCCCCCCTGGCTTGGTCCGGCCAAACCCGTGCCTCGGAGTCCCATGTGGGTTAGATAGTGTATACTCTTTTGTCTTTTGGCCAGTGTATGTCATACATAAGCAGATGGAACCTTCAGAAACCTGGAGTGAATGTGCCAGCTACTGCAGATGCTGCGACGTAAATCCGCTCTCGGGCCGACATGCTGCGATCGGCTATGCCATGCCAGTAATCGACAAGCTTACTGCTGCTGCTCCCTTCTGATCTGGCTTTGATGCCACAGCATAGGCCCTGCAGAGCCCTTATAAATCCTGTGCAGCTCTTGCAATCCCTATCAACAGGCCCTACAGAGCCCTTAGAAATTCTATGCAGCTCTTGTAATCCCTACCGTTGATGATATAAATCCTGCGTTACCTTAAGGCTCCTACTAAACTATGGGAATTATGGTACATTTCTTATTATGGGTAATGCAGGATTTATACCATCAACCGTATCAAACACCACAGACTCGGGCTCCCACCTCATGCCCTGGCGCCGCTTCGTGTCGACCTGCGAAGGGAGCTTCAGCCATTGGCTTGTCAGGGTTATTTAGGGTTTAGGGGTTTAGGGTTTAGGGGTTTATACTATACTAATTAATACGGTTGATGATAAAAAATCCGCTTGCTTCCGTTTTTTTGGGTCCTAGAAGGGTTCTACGGGGCTTTTTCGGGCTTTCGAGTCTATATAAGGTCTAGCAGAGTCCCTTATAACAGCCAGGATAGTTAAATACGGACTTGAAGGGGCTACGTGAAGGGGCTACGTACTGCAAACCCTAAACCCGAAGCCCAAACCATAAACCCTAATGTGTCAGATCTCTGACATGCGGTTCTATAGCGCCATGGGGTGAGTCTGAAACCCCTAAGCCCTAAACCCCTAAATAGCTTTGGGGGCCTAGAAAGCTTTCTGCAGCGATAGTAGGGTGGTCCGGGCCAAACTAGAAAGGGTTTAGCGTTGAGGGTTTGGGTTTAAGGTTTAGGATTTAGGGTCTAGGGTTTGGGTTCAGGGTTTAAGGCTGGCCAATAATGTCGGCCGGTATTGTCGAGTATTGTACCCGTCGGAGAAGCATCAAAGCCTTCTGGTTCCAGGTCGTTGTCAGAATCGTATCATACCAACCCTTAGCAGGCATGACTGAGAAGCCCGAATAATTAGTAAGTCAGTTGCTTAGTTGCTTAGGGTTCCTTCTTGTTCTTGTAGTGCATTTTCCCCAAACCCTATTGTACTCATTAAAGAGTTCCCGTACTCCTGCTGGGAAAGGTCCGATTCCATTTGGGGCTACAGACCCAAACTGAGTCGTAAATCCTTCGCCCTGATGTAGGTTTAAGACTTAGGGCCATTGAGCTCGGCTGAAAGTTGGGATGCTCTAGACCCTAAACCCTAGAACCGATACCTCAATCCTAAAACCCTGGTATCCAAAGCCATAGGATGATGCATGGTCCCCGAGTTAGGGATTTTGGGCGAAGCTTTTTTAGAGACTAAGACTCTGATTATTTGAACAATAGAGCCAGACTACTCACAAAAGAACCACCTAGGCGTGACACCCGGAGCTTTGAGGTCCTAAGGGCTTGGGATGGTACGGTTGATGATATAAATCCTGCATTACCCATCATGAGGAATGACACGATACATCCCATAGCTTAGGGTCCTTAAGGTCATGCTAAGGATTTATATCCCTAAACCCTAAATCCCTAAACCCTAAACCCCGGAACCTAAACCCCTAAACCCCCTAAACCCTCAACCATTTATATCATCAACAGCAAGTCTGGAGCACCAAGGAGGTTCCTAGCGGGTCTCATATGACTCTTGACAGTGTCGAGGTGCGTACCTTTTTCCCCCCTTACTAAGCCCTACGGTTGGATGGGTTAAATCCTTAGCATGACCTCAAGGACCCCCAAACTATGGGAATGTTCTATATTCCTTCTTCGGGGTAACTTTCAGGATTTCTATCATCAACCGTACAAAAGCCCTACCAGCTTTTCGGGACCTTTAAAGAAACTTAGGATTCCTCTCGCTTCCCCTGGCATCCAGACTCCGCCCTTGAAGGCCTCGGAGCTGCAAAGCACAGGTAAAGTCAAAGTCAAAGTGAGCAGATACCAAAAAAAGGGGATTATGTTATAAGATAAGATAAGATAAGATAATAGAGATCCTCTAACTTCTTCAAGAGAGGACTCTGACGAGCCTCCAGAGTGCGAGGTCAAAACGAGCGGGGAGCCCAGATCTGATGCTCATCTACGACTCCTCTAGTACCCAGAGACTCCAAAACCCCTTAATTAAGGAATATACCTGAAATCTTATTAGGGTTCCTATTATCATTTAAGGTATATTCCTTAATTAAGGGGTTTTGGATTCTCTGGGTAGGTATGCATGCTTCAGGGGTCGTAGTCGATGCGTCACATGAGCACTTTTTCCTGCGAGGCTGCAAAAGCTGGTGCTAAGCCGTGAATTTTGGCACAGCTCTACGAGGTGTGCCTCTGGCATTGAATGCAGGAAGCTGCTTGATGTGGGCTCGGAGCTCAGGACTCGACTTCGGTACTTTGTAGGCAGCTCGCCTGCAACGCCCCCCTATGAATTGCAAGGGCCTAAGGTCTTAGGCTAAAGGTTTGGGTCATCAGCATCATCACTGTTGTTGTTGTTGCTGCTGTTGTTGCTTATTATTTTGCTACTGCTGCTGATACTGTTACTACTACTGCTGCTACTGCTCCTACTCTGCTGCTGCTTCTGCTGCTGCTGCTGCTGCTACCACAACTACTACTGTCATCATGATGCTTCCTGTTATTGCTGTAACGTATCTCGTGGTTGGGATAGCAGTGTTAGCTGCAGGCAGCGGCTGCCAATTGCAAACGACCTTGGCCTGCAGCCAGAGCTCCTATAAAGGTTTAGGGTTTAGGGTTTAGGAATCCTTTAAGGATCCCTTTAATAAAGGTTTAGGGTTTAGGGATCCTTTAAGGATCCTTTTAGGGTTCCTCCAATTCAGTTTTGCTGTAAGGGGTGGATTTTCCTGGGCTCTCTCCGCATCGCGGTCTGGGCGTCAGATCTGGGAACTAGAGCGAACCTTCATCCTTCCCAAACCTTATGGAATTCTTTTGATTCCCTACAAAACCCCTCATAGAAACCCCCCATGCCTGAAACTTGGGTCCCAGGAAACCCCTAAACCCTAAACCACGGTTTAGGGTTTAGGGTTTAGGGACCCTAATCAATGAGTCCACTGTGAGCTCTGAGCCCCAGCCCACGTGGGAGTTGCAGAAATAGGGGGCCGTTGTTGCACACTCGAGGGGCTTTAAAATTCCGTTCGGGGTTTGGGTGACATTCTGGTATAGTTACATGGGAGCGGGCGACGGTTACTAATTTTCTTACCCCCTTTGTAGGATCCTTCTATGAACAGTCCGACCCGTATCCTTCTCACGGTACGATGAAACTCGATAGAACCTCTAAACCAGGCACCCCTAATATTCAGAAACCCCCACGTTGCTTTGGTCAGATGTCGAAGTGGCGAAAGTTGTAGGAGCGGCCTCAAAACGAAGCAGAATTTCTGCCCTCATGTTGGAATGCTTCCTAGATCTCTATGACTGGTAAGCCGGCTGCACAAATAAGACTAGACTTTTGATTGATGAGGTGCCCCCCGTGTTTCGTTAAGAGGGACTGAACGGGGATTGATCCAAAGCCTAAGCAACACAGGCCTGGATAACTAGACTAAGGGTCTGACTGCTTCTATACCATGACAAACTCAGGCCGCTGGGAGGATCCAAGAAGTAGATCCTTTAATGGGGGTTCCTATAAAGTATCCTTAGTATCATAAGGTCTCCCAAAATAGGGCGTCTACTTTCTGGGTCCTCCCGGGGGTCTGAGAAACCAGGGGCCCTGGGTCGTGATGCAACCAATCTTTCAAAGGCCCAGGGTACTTGCCAACAGAAGTGCAGGCTGTTGTTCAGGGTTACGGGGTTTACGTTTCGGTTTTCACGGCTTTAACCATGTCTATCTCTGCTCGGGCTTATTGACAGCTGAAGGGTCACTTGTACAGTTTCGATGACTCTGAGTTCCTTTGATCATGTTTGGAAGGGCCATCACGGGGACGGTGCCCGACGTTCGCTGGGGTCTTGTATGCGAGAGTTGAAAGCTATAGGCCACCAGATGTTGTACAAACGGATGCCAATTGTCCTGGTCAGAACCTCGCCAGGCAAACCGCAGCAAGGCAAATGCGGTTACTAGGAATTTTAAGGATAGCTACCTTGTTTATAACTCGAATGAGTAAGTCCCATGATCTTCTAAGTAGGTCCACCCCAGTCGTACCCTAATACCCTCCTCTAGTGCAGGCCGTGGAATGTGGACGTTAATGCAAGGGTCGGAATCATTAGGAATACACTTCCTTAGGGTCCTTTGTTATGAAGTCTATTTGAATTGTTAAGATCCTTCTGTGTTCTTGCGAAGAGAACTTTGGATGCAGACCACTCGTCAGAGGACTCCAGGAAGTGACCCTGAGGAAAACAACCGGCCGGTGGTACTGCCCGTTGACCCGTCCGTTTTCGGCCAAGCTGCCTTTCTTCTTCAAGGCTTGCCTGTCAAAAATTTGGGGACGTGAAGAATTTGCATTGGGTTTTGGGACCCATTGTGCTGCAACTGTATTCGGGAGTACAGGGGGATATCATTCCCAATCGTTCCGGCTTCCAAACAAGGCATGTAAACCTTAGGCAGCACAAGGAAACGACAACCGTTGACAAGGTGGAAGTCAGCTTTTCATGATCACACCCTGAAAGCCCTTTTGTAGGATGTCCGGGAGTCCGTTGTTCGGGGAAGCTGCGGCTATTCATTTAGGATCTCATGCCTGTATCAACCTCACTGTTGTCTAATAGCCTGTCGCAAACTTAGTAAGGGTCCCTGAACCAGGGCAATCTTGGTTTTCAGAATCCATAGTGT